CACTGCCAGGGAGCCTGGGCACCTCAGCTGGGGGCTCGGGTCGGCTCGCAGAGATTTGCATTGCTGGGCACCGGGCTGGGCAGAGGCTCCAGCACAGCTCCAGGTGCTGCTTTTCAGCCTCAGAGCCCTCAGCCCGTAGGAGGGGGTTCAGGAGCACTGGGCAAACTCGGGTTCTGCCAAGTTCCTGTGTCAGATCTTCTGTCTTTGCCTGCATGAGAAGGGCCAGTGCTACAATAGTGTGAGGGGTGAGGCAGCTTTGGGCGCTGCTCCTCCTGGCTCTGGAGCTTGGGGAAGGGTGAGAGGAGAAGCCCTGCAAGGAGCAACTGTGCTCATTTGGTCTGATCCTGCTGGAGCAGAGCAGCCTGAGGTCAGAGCTCCCCGGGGTCTGCAGCTTCCTCCTGAGGGGCAGCAGAGGGACAGCTCTGATCTCTGCTCTCTGTGAGATGGGACAGGACTGGAGCTGTGTCAGGGGAGGGTCAGGCTGGATCTCAGGAAAGGCTCTTCCCCAGAGGGTGCTGGCACTGCCCAGGCTCCCCAGGGAATGGGCACAGCCCCGAGGCTGCCAGAGCTCCAGGAATGTTTGGGCAGCGCTGCCAGGGATGCCCAGGGTGGGATTGTTGGGGGGTCTGTGCAGGGCCGGGGTTGGGTGTGATCCTTGCGGATCAGTTCCAGCTCGGGATGTTCAGTTATTCTGCTGGGATATATACAGAGCCCTTCCCAGGAGCTCAGGGCTGTGCTGCTCCAGTGGGTCACGGGCTCTGTGCCAGCCTCTGCTGTCCCCTGGATCAGGGGCTCTCCAGGCAGCTTGGCAGTGCCTGAGAGCGTCTGAGCTCAGCCCCCTGCTCCTGGAAGGGGAGGATGCAACCAACTGGGGCATTTCAGGGCTTTGGGGAAGCTCGAGTGGGCTCAGTCCAGTGATGGATCTTGATCCCTGTGGGAGTCAGGAGCTTTTGTTAGCACCCCTGAAAATGCTGTTTCTTTTGTTCTGGAGCAAGTTGGGGTTTTCATGGAGAACCCTGCTTCCAAAGAGACACAATCTCAAGCTGTGCCAAGGGAAATGTAGGTTGGATATCAGGAAAAGGTTTTTATGAGAGAGTGATAAAGTTCTGGCAAAGTTCTGAAGAGAGTGATAAAGCCTGCCGGGGGAGGTGGTGGAGTCCCCATCCCTGGGTGTGTTTAACACAGCCTGGATGTGGCACTGGGTGCCAGGGTTAGTTGAGTGTTAGGGCAAGGGTTAGACTGGATGATCTGAAGGTCTCTTCCAGCCTGGTGATTCTGTGAGTTCTGTGAGTTCTCTGTAAGCCAAGCCTGGGAGCTGTGTGTGCAGGCAGGGGCCCGTGGCTGTGACAGCTGTGTCTGGCCAGGGGCTCAGCTCTGTGCTGGCCTCAGGCCCCTGCTCTGCACAACCTGAGGCTGCCTTGTGGCAGAATCATTTGATTGCTGCTGGAATCAGGCCTGACTGCTCTTGGAGTCATAGAGCAGATGAGCCACATGTGAGCATCACTCTCGAGCTCAGAGTCTCTTGACTTCTTCCCTCCTATCCCAGCAAAACACTCAGAGGCATCTGATGTGATCCAGCTGCATCTCCTGGGGCAGTTCTGTGATTTCTCCCTGGTAATTCCCAGTGGTTTTCCATATCTCAGGTCCCCATTCTCTTGCTCACCAGTTCAACATCACTGGGTCACACATGACCTTCACTCATCCTTGTTTATGCTGTGGGTGGCCCAGAGTCCGCTCACATTGCTGCTCCTGCCAGCCCATGACACAGCAGGGACAAGGGGACAGCTCTAGCTTGCCCCTTGTAGAGCTGTTCCAGGTGCCCAGGTGATGGGGAAGCTGCTCTGGGACAGCTCCTGGCTGCCTGGGGCAGGGTCCCCATGGCTCTGACTGCAGGTCCCCACGCTGAGCCCCTGGTGCCACATTCCCAGAGCGGGGCATGTTCCCTGCTCTGTCCTGGGGCTTTCCCAGGGCATGTTCCCTGCTCTGTCCCTGGGAGCTGCTTCCTCTCTGCTCTGCCCACGTCCCATCTGTCTGGGTCCCTCTTGCTTCAAATTTCTGCCCATTTTATGGCCATGCCAGCTGCTCTCTAAACTGGCAGGCTCTACTCAGACCTCTGGGCTTGGGGCTCCTGCTGTGGCTTCCTCCCCTTTGACTTTTCCTTTGGCCAGGGCATGGTTTAATTCTGCCTGGACTGCTGTGAGCATGCTTAGGACTGAATTTTGTGCAGCACTGATGGTGCTCTTCTCTCATTTGCTTGTTTGAATGCCCCCATTCAGAAAAAAAGAACTTTTCACATGGGTCAGTACAAGTGATCTCCAAACACAAAGTGATTGCTCTGCCATTAATTACTGTAGGATTTTAGTAGGGCACAGACACAGGAAGATTGTCCAGCTATAGCAGAAGGTGGGATGGTTGAGCTGATATCCTGGTGGCTGCAGGGATGGTCCTGGAGTGACAGGAGGACCTGCCCTGCCCTGAGTGCTCCCATGGAGCTGCATCCCCACAGCCACAGGCCCTGCTCAGCTCCGGCAGCTCCCACCCAGCTGCTCCCAGGATGGCAGGGCTGAGGTGTCAGCTCTGGGGACAGTGACAGGAGCACACTGAAAAAGAGGATGAGTGTGTTTGTGCTGCCTGAAGGCTGCAGCAGCTCACTGCTTCCTCTTACAGCCAGTGCTGACATCCCAGAGCACCAGGACATCCTGCATCCATGCTGGTTTATGCCTGGGTGTTGTGTGGCTTACCCTGCCTCCCAGGCTGGTGCAGCACAGCACTGTGACAGGGTTCACAGGGGTCTGAGGATGAGGGAAGAGATGAGGATCTGACTCCATGTTTCAGAAGGCTTGATTTATTATTTTATGATATATATTACATTAAAACTATACTAAATAGAAGAAAGGATTTAATCAGAAGGCTAGCTAAGAATAGAATAGCAAAGAATGATAACAAAGGTTTGTGGCTCAGCTCTCTGTCCGAGCCAGCTCACTGTGATTGGCCATTAATTACAAACATCCAACATGGGCCAATCACAGATGCACCTGTTGCATTCCACAGCAGCAGATAACCATTGTTTACATGTTGTTCCTGAGGCTTCTCAGGAGGAAAAATCCTAAGGAAAGGATTTTCCATAGAAGTTGTCTGCGACACAGCACCTCTGAAATGTGTGTGAGCCTGAGCCTGGATTTCATAGAGCCACAGCCAGATTTGGGTTGGAAGGACCTCAAAGGTTACCCAGTGCCACCCATGCCATAGGCAGGGACACCTTCCACCATCTCAGGTTGCTCCAGGCTCCATCCGAGCTGGTCTTTGCTGGAGAGCTGGACTGCTGCAACGTCACACTCTGGAACTGGGGTCTGCCTTGGCTGGTTCTGCACAAGCCTCCCCATGTCTGTGCTCCCCACGGTGCAGCTGCTGCTGAAGGATGGCATCTTGGTTTGAGGCCTCTTCCCTTATCTGTGGTGGATAATGGAGTGGCTCCAGGGCCAAGCCCTGCTTGGCACTGAGAGTGGTGTTTGTAGGGCTCTGGGTATGTTTACTGGGAGTTGTGGAGCTGCAAGAGGAAGGAGAATAATCTTGGTTGTTTTGGCAGGCCCTTGCCTGTGCTCAGTGAGGTCATTGGCTCTGGGGTTGTCACCTCCTGTTCCTTATTTTGCATGGGGCACAGAGTGACTTGGAGAAGTGTGACTGTGGTCACCAAGTGTTGCAATTGGGCAAAATATGCAAAGTATTCTGAAAATAATGCTGAAGGGATTGTAAACACTCTGACATATCTTGAGTGGCCATTCCTTAGGGAGTTGGGAGGGAGGATCTGTCTGGATGGCAGTTGTGAGGATGTGGCTGGTCAGGTCCAGGCACCCAAAGCAGGGATTTCCTATTCCTTTGCTTGCTGCTGCTGAAAGCCTGTAGCACAAATCTGGGCTGTGTGTGGCCTGCTGGGCTCACAGCATGTGGGGGGAATTTGTTGTGGACTAACAGGGAATTCTCAGCAACTTAAATCTTATCTCATGTTTTCTCTGTGTCTGGCTGTGAGCCCTCACAGGGATCCCCAGGACAAACTGATGTCCATGGTCTCTGCCCTCAGAAAATCCATCCTGGTGTGTGCAAGGAGGTTTTGCTGGGATGTGGCTTTGCTGGGGCTCTGTTTGTGCTGCAGGTGAGAGTCACCTGCTCAAATCACATTTAATCACATCATTTAAACTGAGTGGAGGCACCTGCAGCCTTCCGGTGGTGGATTGAGGAAAATCAGCAGCAGCAAAAGGGCTGGGGCTCCTCTTGTGGCAAATGTCAGGTGAGCTTCACCCACAATCAGGTTTTCTCCTCCTTTAGGCTTCCAGGCAGCTCAGGGGAAGGTGTCCCCACTGCTGATCTCAGGGTAGCCTTGGTGTTCAGGACAAACCAAGTTCAGAGAATGTGAATGCCACATCTTCAGGACAAACCAAGCCTCTTCTTTCACTGCTGCTGCTCTGAGGGGAACAAACGTGCTGTGGAGGCAAAGGGAGCAGCTGCTCCCACAACATGGGGTGCATTTGTGGATGTCCTGGCTCTGGGCTGCCCCAAAAGCAGGGCTGGCAATCCCAGAGATGGGGTCTGCCAGCTGTGGTGGCTGCAGAGGGATGGGGGGGTCAGAATTGCAGAAATGTGTCTGTCATTCCTGACTGGGATCTGACACAGGGGCTGTGGGCTCCCAGCCCGTGCAGGGCTCAGGGTGCTGCTGGATGTTTCTGCCCTCCAAGGAAACTCCCGAGCCAGGTCAGGCCGTCCTGATGGAGGGGAAACAGCAGGAGAGAGCAGCCTGTGTCCTTTTAAGGCAATCCAAAGGCTGGGACTGGGAGGATCAGGCTGGAAGGGGGAGGGGTTTGGCAGCGTGGGGAGCCCAGCCTGTGGAGAAGAGGCTTCCCAGCTGCTGTGAGCACAGCCCAGACACGCTCCCACATCCCGGGGGCCAGCACAGCCTCCCCAGCCCTGCGCTCCCCTCCTCTGTCTGTCTGTCCAGCACTGAGACCCTCTGGGCACCTGGGAGCTCTGCCCAGGATAAAGCAGGGTCGGTTCTGACCCTGCCCTGGTAGCCAGGCTGGGGTCAGTTTCCCTTTTCCTGACAAAAAGCTCTCACACAGGGAAGATCTCGACTGCCCCTGGCCTGGGAGGTGCAGGGACCTTGCTGTGCCTGTGAGCCCTTCGTGCTCCCATCTCTGCTTGGGGCTTGCACAGCCCTGCAGGGTTCAGCTCCCACCGCCCCAGCTGGGACAGCCACAGGGCCTGGGGGGCTGCACTGCCCGAGGTGAGCCAGGATCTGCTCCAAGGGGGGCTCCTGGCGGGCCCTGCAGAGCCAGCTCCCCTCCTCATCTCCACACAGCTGAGCTGAGGGAGGTGACGAGATCCAGCCCACATGGAGGGCTGGCAAATCTTGTACTGGGAAAATGGGGTTTGGTTTTGGAGACCCTGCCCTGCTTTAACTGTTCAGGGGTCAGGAAGCACATCGTGACTGCTGCCTGTCCCCAGAGGGGAGCAGGATGGGGAATTCCAGAGGTGTTGATGGAAAGAGGCCCCTGGAGACCTCTTAGGCTGCAGCTTGTGCCTATTGACCTTGCTTGTATCATTGGGCCCCTCCAAAAAGTGTTTTATTGTCTTTGTAGCAACCCCTGCTGTTTGAGCCTCCTTGGCTTCCTCTTGGCCACACTTGTTGAGCCTGGCTCCCTCAGGATCTCCTTGCAGGACTTTGTTGTGTGAATGCTTCAAGGTTTATGGCCTTGACAAGTGCCAGGGCCCCTCTGGGCTGGAGCTCTGCTGCTCCTGTAAGCAGCTGACAGTATTTTGGGGTTATCTGCAGATCCAGGGGCCTCTTGATGGTGTCTCATCAGACACAGTTTAGGAATGAGAAGAGAAATAGAAGCATTTACAGCCTGCTGAGGAGCTGGATGTGCCTTAGGCTGGAGCTCAGGCCTTTGCCCTGCTCTGTCTTCTTGCTTTCAGATTTTCCAGGCTGTGACTCTGCCTGCAGTCCTGGGGGAGACTGAGAGTGCAGGGAGTGCCTGGGAGGGAGGCTCTGGTCAGGCAGGAGCTGGTGGTGCTGTGGGAGCTGTGCCAGAGCTGGGCCTTGGTGGTGCCAGGGGCATCCCTGGCTCTGCCCTGCCCTGCAGTGCCTGAGCCTGGTCAGGGAGGAGGAGCTGGCACTGTGTCCAGGGCAGCAGCAGCAGCTCTGTCACTGCAGCACCAGAGTCACCCTGGCCATGGCAGGGGTGGCAGCAGGGCTGTGACCTAGGGAGGTGCCTGGGTGGCTCTGTGGGTGCTCTGTCCCAGCATGGTGCTGCTCCTCCCTTTTCCTGGCACTGCCAGGAGCTGTGAGGTCCCACGGCTCCAAGGCAGGGATTTCTGCTGCCCCTGGCAGACAGGACCAGTGCTCCCTGGGAGGCACTGCTGGGGCCCTGAGTTCCAATGCTTCTGCCCTTCCCTGCCTTTGGGGATCTCAGTCCCTGCAGACACTGTGGGTGCTCTCTGCACCTGTGGGAAGGTGCTGGAGCTCCAGGCCTGCTCTGGCTGCCCCATCTCAGCCCCACAGAGCCCTGGCCCTGCTCCTGACTCTGCTTTCCCTGCAGGATGCCAAACTGGGGAGGAGGGAAGAAGTGTGGGGTGTGCCAGAAGGCTGTGTACTTCGCTGAGGAGGTGCAATGTGAAGGCAACAGCTTCCACAAGTCCTGCTTCTTGTGCAGTGAGTACNCAGAGAGGCCCCGGTGCCCGAGTCCCGCCCGTCCCGTGCTCAGCCGTGACACCGAGCAAGCAATAAAAACATCAGCGACATCAGAGCCTGGCCCTTCCTCTGACTGCGGCTGGGGCTGAGGGCCCGGGCTGGGGAGGGGTTTGTTTGCAGCCCTGGATTGGAATGAAAGCCCAAAGGCAGCAATGTGGGGGTGCAGTCTGACACGGGATGGGCTCCCCCTCTGCTCCCACCAAGAATCAGCATGGAATGGTTTGGATTGGAAGAGACCTTAAAGCTCATCTTGTTCCACCTCCCACTAGCCCAGGCTGCTCCAAGCCCTGTTGAAGACTTCCAGGAATGGGGATATCTGTTCCAAAAGCAGAGGTTGATGCTGGGAGGCCAGGACGGCCCTCCTGGGTGTGTTGGTAGCACCACACGTGTGCTCAGGCTCTCAAAACCCCTATCAGTGCTTTAGGTGGCACCTCTCCAAGAGGTGTGCCCAGCAGTAATTAACAGCTTTTCACCTACTCCCTGCTTTTTTACAGCTTGTGGATCATTAAGCCTCCAGTTTGGCTGCTGCCCAGGTCTAATTGGTTTCCATCTAAACTCTTCACTCCCTTTCTGTGATTCTCCTGTTGGACTGGTGGGACAGACTCGGATCACCCTCGCTGCAGTTTAGGGACTCCACAGGCAATTGAGTTCTGGGGTTTTTAGAGTTACAAACATTGTGGTTGAGCAAATGAGATGGGGAGTGTTCTGAGAAGCACAACAGAGGCAGAAATCCTTTTTTGGGGCAGGCCTGGGGCTCCTTTATCAACCTCAGTGCTTTCTCCTGTTCATCACACCCTCAGCTTTACATGTTTATGAAGTAGAGATGGGGAGTTGAGTCTTTACCATCTTTACCATCTCCAGAAACTTCCCCCCTCTAGATTCCAGCAGGACCCCCTGCTCTGGGCTGTGGGGTGGCTGGAATGAGGGGTCTGGTGTGGGGGCACACAGCCCAGGCTCAGGAAGGGCTGGGAGCTGCAGCACAGAGGGCTCAGGTACCAGCCTGGTGGGGAGACCCAAACCTGCCTCCCTCGCTTGGCAGAGGCCCTGCTGCTCCACCACAGAGGTGAGGGGGCCTGTTCTGGAAGCTGCTGCAGGGATGGAGGGGTCAGGAAGCTGCTGCCTTCTCTGTGAGCATGCAGGGGATGCTGTGCTGCTGCTGCTCTGGCATCTCAGCTGGATGTGCCCCAGGTGGGATTGTGCCCAGGCAGTGCTGGTTGGTCAGTAAAGCTACAATGAGTATTTTGTCCCTTCCTCATGCAGCTGTAGGGGTTCTGTCAGAGAGAGGGGAGGAGAGGGAGCCCCTCTGCTCTGGAGCCAGGCTGGGAGAGCTGGGGATGTCACCTGGAAAAATCTCCAGGGAGAGCTCAGAGCCCCTTCCAGTGCCTAAAGGGACTCCAGGGGTGCTGGAGAGGGACTGGGGACAAGGGCCTGGAGTGGCAGGACAAGGGGGAATGGCTTCCCACTGCCAGAGGGCAGAATTAGATGGATATTGGGAAGGAATTCTTGGCTGTGATGATGGTGAGGCCCTGGCACAGGGTGCCCAGAGAAGCTGTGGCTGCCCCTGGATCCCTGGAAGTGTCCAAGGCCAAGCTGGACAGGGCTTGGAGGAATCTGGGGCAGTGGAAGGTGTCCCTGCCATGGCAGGGGGTGGAACAGGATGGTTCTTAACCTTTCAACCCAAACCAGTTGGTGGGTCTATGAGATAGTGACATTTCACATGTGATGGACCCCAGAGAGGCCAATTCCACTTGGAGGCCTGGTCAAAGCCAGGAGAAAATGCTGGATTTGGTTTTGGAGGGCCATGGATAGATGTAGGTTGGAAGGAACCAGCAGAAACCTTGACTGCTTAAGGCAGGGTTCCAGAGGTCAGGTTGGCCAGAGCATTTGGTGTCCACTGAGGTACAGGAACCGTCTGAGGATGGAGGTCCCACCACTGTGGATCCTGTCAGCATTGAGCCACACAAGCCTTGGAAGGGTTGTTTGATCACTAAAAGGGTGGTCAGGCCCTGGCACAGCTGCAGTGTGGGGTGTGGTGCATGGGGACGTGGGTTAGTGGTGATCATGGCAGTGCTGGGGGAGTGGTTGGAATGGATGATCTTGTGACCTGGGAGGGCTTTTCCAACATTAATGATTCTTTGAATCCCTGCTTGTCCTCTGGTGCCCCTGTGCCTGGTGTCTTGTGTCCTTTTGCCAGGCAGGGCCATGTCTCCACAACCTTTCTATAGACAGTGGAAAACTGAAGTTCAGCCTCCCCAGGTCCTCTTTTCTCCTGCCTATTGGTCCCTGCAGAGCTCCCAGCCCCAAAGGTCCCAGCTAAACCATATCCCAGGACAGGGACCATGTCCTGGGGGTTTGCCCTGGGTGCCACACTCCTGCTGATCCTGCACTGGTCACTCAGGGTGGCTTAGGGAGTGACAGAGCCCACCGTGGGGACACCAGGATGGGATCACATCCCGACAGAGGCATGAGGGGGGCTGCAGGAGGTGGTGGGACATGGCCCAGGAGAAGCAGGGTGGGACTAGAGGTGCTTTTTGGGCACCTCCTGCCGGAGCTGCAGTGGGACAGCTCTGACCCTGCTACCCTCTGCTGGCCAGCAGCACGGCAGGGCCCAGCCGAGTCTGCTCACCTGTGCCAGGTGCTGTCCAGCTCCCCCTCGAGGCAGCAGAGCCGCGCTGAGCCCGGCAGCTCCCACCCTTGGGAAGGGGCTGAGGCACCCACACCTGCCCTCAAGGGACAAACCAGCACCCTGGAGCCTCGAGGTGATGGCACCGCTGGAGGGGTCAGAGTGGAGCCCCCAGGCCCCACTGTGAGGGGGGATGTCACCCTGTCACCCAGCCCTGTGGGGATGTCACCTCGGGGCAGGGCTGAGCCTGGCAGCCCCGTGGGAGGGGATGTCACCTGCCCTGAGGGCCCGTGTGGATGGGATGAGCCGTGGGCAGCCCATGGAGCGCAGCAGAGCCCTTGGCTCACCCACAGCCTGGCACAGCGGGTCCTGCAGGGTTTGCTGCAGGGCAGGAGGTGCCATGTGCCCCTGGGCAGCCTGGCAGGGTGAGAGCCCTGCCCCTGCTGTGTCTGGGGAGATGGGAGTGGAGGATGTTCCCAAAGCTCCTTCACACCCAGGGCTGCAGGACCAGCTCCTTCCCTTGGTGGCTGGTGCCTGGAGGAGCAGTGACTGTGGTGAGCAGAGTGGCAGGGGTCTCGGGCAGGGACTGGCAGCCCTTGGCTCTCCACAGGCTGTGAGGATGGAGCTGGAGCTGGATGGTGAACCAGAACTGCCCACGGACATCCCAGCTTACCAGAACAGTGACAGTCCCAAAACTGCTCCCTCCGAGCTCCCAGGGCTGAGCATTCCTGGAGCTGAGCGTTACCCGTGTGTGGGAAAACAGCCTTGCTGGGGAACCCACACTGCTCTGCTCTGCTCTGCTCTGCTGGGGGAACCCACAGTGTTCTGCTCTGCCAGGGGTACCCAAACTGCTCTGCTCTCCTGGGGAACCCACACTGCTCTGCCCCTTCCGAAGCACCGGGGTGCTCGGGGTGACCTCCGGGGCCGCCCCACNCCTTCCCAAACCTTCCCAAACCTTCCCTTCCCCCCTCTGCTTCCTGGGCAGGGCTCCTCAGGATCTCTCGCATCCCCAGCCTGGCAGGAGCACAGATCATCCCAGGACAGGTTGGCTGCCCAAGCTGCCAGGGCTGAGCTCAGCCAGCACCCACACAAAGCCTTTGTCCATCCCTCCTGCAGGGAAGGGCCAGGCTGGGTGCTCTGCTCTGTGTCCAGATGTTCAGGATTGCAGCAGGAGCCAGGGCCCCTCCCAGCAGTGGTGGCAGGGCAGGAGGTGGCACATGCCATGCAGTGCTGCAGGAGGGGCTGCCTTTGGCCTGCTCTGTGCCTGTGCCACACTAAATGTGGCTGAGCCATGGAATCTCCTCATGTCTGAGGGGATAATGGGAGGAGATCCTGTCCTGGCCCTGGTGCTGATGGAAAGCCTCCTGAGCAGTGCTGAAGCATCATCCCCAGCCTGTCTGCAGATCCCCTGTCACTGAGGGTGTCTCTGGGCTGTGTTTGGACCCAAGTGTCACCTCTGGGGAGGGGCAGCAGGGCAGGACCTGGCTGCAGGTGATGCAGTGCTGAGCCCCCTCCCTGCCCCCTCTGCAGGGTCCTACAGATGCTGCTGGGATCCTGCTGCAATCCCCAGACCCCCTCCCTGCCTTTGGGAATCCTAGGGCAGTGCTGAGAGCAGCTCCTTAAATCTGGGGAATCCAGAGAGGCCACAAGAAGTTTGATTAAAAAAATGAGCAGTGTCCTCAGTCTGTGTGGTACCAGATCACTGTCCTCTGTCCCTGGAGACTGACACATATCAGAGCCAGTGCCTACAGGAGATGGGGCATGGAGCAGCCTGGGCTGGTGGAAGGTGTCCCTGCCCACGGCAGGGGTAGGACAAGATGAGTTTTAAGGTCCCTTCCCACCCAAACCTCTCTGGAATTCTGTGGGCAGGAGCACACACGTTGTCTGTGTCTGTGATGGCTCCTTGAGACATTGATCTGTCACAGAGCAGCAGAAGTGCATCTCCAGGCTGGCCTTGCAGCAGGGCCCCACTGAGGTTTAATGTCCCCTCAGCTGGTGCCAGTCTCAGCATCCCATCACAGCAGGGAGCACAGCTGGGGTCTTTGCCATGGGGGCAGCAAGCAGAGGTGGCATCTGGAAACAAGGCACGCCCTGGAGCTGATCCCTTCCAGCAGGAAACTCCAGGGCCCTCGTGGGATGATCCCTGTGGTGCCCCTGTGCCCACCCAGCCTGGCTGCAGGACCTGTCCAGCCTGGCTGGGCACAGCTGGCACAGGGCACAGGAGCTGCTGCTGTGCCCGTGCTCCCTGCAGGGTGAACAGGAGCTCCCATCTGGGGCAGTTTCCAGGCTGCAAACCTGCTTTGGCTGGAAGGGCTCGGTGGGAGTTGTTGAGGCATTTCCTGGGCAGGATGAGGGTGACAGACTGGGTTTGTATGGCAGCTGCTCTGCAGAAGGAAATCCTGTTTGTGTTTTAGCCTCAGATAAGGAGGGTGGGAGCGCTGCCCTCACCCCTTGTGCACACAGCTGTTTGCCAGGGAAATGCCATGGGATGCTGGGCAGGCCTCCAGAGCCATGGAATGAGGCCCAAGGCATTTCTTCCAGGAGGGAATACACAGCCAGAGAGGGGAGGAAGGTGCCCCGTGTGTGATTGTGGAAGCAAATGCCCAGGGAGGGGTCCTGGGCTCAGGACTGCTGTCCCTGTGCTTTGCAGGCATTTGTTTTGCCATTCCACAGGTACCCAGCAGCTCTGGCTGTGGCTCCCCTGCCAGGCTGTGCCTCGTGTGCCAGCCCACCCTGCTGCCCACTGTTCCCAGGCTGTTCCCAGGCTGTGCATGGTGCTCCTGAGCTCCTGCATTCCCAGCCTGTTCCCCAGTGCTGCATTTGGGCCCCATCAAGGAACTTAAAACCATTATCTTTAGGGGACAATAACAAATACTTCAACCAGATCTGCCAAAAACATCTTCTAAAAGGAGCCAAGCCTACCACAGTGCATTAGAGCTCGGGGAGCAGCTTGGTGATTGACTCCTGGCCATGGTCCAGCTGCCTGGGTAGTGCAGCAAAAACGAGCTGGAATGAGCCCCATGGCCTTGGAAAGCAGAGGCAGCTCTTGTCTGATTGTTTTGGGAGCAGCTCAGCTGCTCTTAGAAAAACAAAGGGTCCTTAACTCCTGAGTGCAGTGCCCTGGAATTTCTGCAATGCACAAACCCGGGGGCTGGGTAAGAAATTTTTCTGTTGCCTCTCAAAGCTCTGTGAGTACAGATGAGGGACTGTGAAAGGTTGGGCTGGAGCATCCAGATCCCACCGAGACCATTCACTGCTGCCCCCGGGCAAAGCTCACACAAAACCCTTTGAAATGCCAGCGAAAGTGCCCAAATTCCTTCCTGATGGTGTGGCTGAGCAGTGTCACTGCAGGGCAATGCAGAGAGCCCAGGAGCAGCTTTGGAGCCAGTTCCCTGCCCTGGTCTCTCCCAGCAGATCTGTTCTCCATCCCAGCTCCTGCTGTGGTCAGGGCATGTGGCCAGGAGAGGACTCTGCCAGAGCCTCCTTAGATGGCAGGAGATGCTTCCCTTTCCTCCTCCTTGGCCCAGCAGAGGCACACAGGCTTCTCCTGGCTGTATTTAGTCATGGAAGGGCTGCCTTCTGCCCCCGCTCAATTTGTGCTGCTCCAAGGGGAGAACTCTGCTCTGTTTGCATTCCTGTGATATTGGGAAAGGCCCAGGAGCTGCTCTGCTGGCCCAGAAGCTTCTGGAAGCCTCGACATTTAAGGCGTGGAGAGCAGGCTGGGGAAGCTGTGGCAGCTGCAGCTGGATGTGTGTGGGGCTGGCTTGCCAGCGCTGCAGACTCTGCCCCAGGGGTGCCACCCTGCACAGGGCACAGGGACAAGGGGCAGCACCTGCAGCCTGGGTGCTGGGGCCTGCTCTGCCTGGCAGAGTGAAATAAATAGGGCAGGAGATCTTTTTGCTTTGTAATGACTTTGTTAAAAATCAGCTCCGGTGGGATGAGCCGACAGGTCGCGCTTATGCCACTGATGCTCCCAGGAGGGGCATGGAGGAGAAGGAAGAGTGCAGCTGTGTCTGCAGGCAGAGCTGGGTTTCCATCCTCACCAGAGTATCAGGAGAGTCCCAGTTTTTTGGTTTGATGTTTGAGGGCCTCTGTCCAGCCGACATCTTTTAGGTTAGGATGAGGGATAAAAAGGGTTTTAGCGGATACTGGATTCTGTTCCTCACGTGTAGACATCACTTTGATCCCTCAATTCCATGTTCGTTCAATGTTTTTAGGGGTTTTTGGCTAGGTTTGGTGAGGGGTTTCTTCATTTGCATGCCAATTCGATGTCCCCTCCTCTTCACCCTCCAGTGCCATCCTCCAGGAAGCAGCAGGTGCCACTCGACAAAAGGGGGAATTCTTAACCATCAACGACACTTAGTTAACGAAAAAGGTGATTACAACAACAAACAGTTAGAACTCCACCCTGGCAGCAACTATCCCAACCTATGAACTCTTAAAAAAATGGGCAGCTGTTCTACTCGTAACACAGAGGGTTTCAGGAAGGGCTGGGAAGGAATGGGGCAGCTGTGGGCAGAGCTGGGACAGGAGCTGGTACTTCCAGGACCTTAACGGGGGTTATAAAAGAGAGGCAGAGTGACTTTAAACGCAGGCAGATAATGACTGGGTAATGGGGGATGTTTTAAAACTGAAAGAGGAACAATCTAGATTAGATATAAGGGAGAAAGTTTAGATTAGATATAAGGAAGTAATTCTTTACTCAGAGGGTGGTGGAGCATTGATTCCCAGAGAAGCTGTGGCTGCTCCATCCTTGTGTTCAAGACCAGATTGGGCAGGGCTTGCAGCAACCTGGGGTAGTGGAAAGTATCCATGGCAGAGGATTGGAATCAGATAATCTGATTTGAAGGTCCCTTCCAACCCAAACCAGTCTGTGATTCTATAGAAACCTAAAAATCAAGAGAAGGCCTGAGCCCAGCACCAAGCTCAAGCTGTAGCTCTGGGTGGGCTCAGCAGGGCCCCTGAGCCTGGCTGCCATCTCCTCCTGTCCCATCTTGCATCCCACATTGACCCCCAGGGCTCAGACACCTGGCTGGGTTAGGGTTCCTCACCTGGGACCCCCCATGCCCACCCCAGACCCAGGGCTGAGGTGTCGGGGAGCCTTTGAGCTCTGGACAGGTGACTGCCCAATGTGTGAAGCCCTTGCAGTGCCTCAGGTGTGGCAATGGCCACAGGGCTGCTCTGGGATGGCTCTTGGTCCCTCCAAACACCAGCAAAACCACATTTGCTCACATTTCTCTGCCTCGAGTGCTTCCTGCTGTGGATTTGCAGTGGATAAGGTGTGGGGCTAGGACATCCATCCCCAGTGATTCCTAGGGAAAATTCACCCCCATGGTTTCAGTTCAGCTGCAGGAGAGCAGCGCCCAGAGGGTTAAGAGAGCTTTCCTTCCCTTGGTATCACCCTGTTGGCTTTGATGGTTGCTTCCTTTTAAAGCCAGACACTGCTCTTGTTGTGATCCTTATCTGCCTGGTTTGCATGTGCTCCCTGCAGCTGGATCCTGGCGAGGCTCTCCCTGCTCCTTGGGAGCTGTGCTGTCCCTGTGAGGGCTTGTTTTCCCCAGCTCATTAGGAGCTCTGGCAGAGCAGGCTGATGCCACTCCCTCCCCTCTGTTCCAGTGGTCTGTAAGAAGAATTTGGACAGCACCACCGTGGCCGTGCACGGTGAGGAGATCTACTGCAAGTCCTGCTACGGGAAGAAGTACGGCCCCAAGGGCTACGGCTACGGGCAGGGAGCTGGGACCCTGAGCACGGACAGGGGAGAGTCCCTGGGAATCAAATATGAAGAGTGAGTTGGAGCCTTGTTTTCCACACTGGGGCTGTGGGAGCTTCTCCCCACACCTGTCCTGTGGTGCTTGGCTGTGGTGCAGCTCCCAGCAGTGTCCATGGGCTGCCTGGCCCCTCTGCTGCTCCAGGGAATCCCACTGAGCCCTGTTTGGTGACTGGGATGGGATGGGATGGGACATGTCCCCATTGCCTGAGCACACTGCCCACCCCTCCCAGCACACAGCCCCCAGGCTGAACTTTCCATGGGGCTCACTGTTCTGGAAGTTCCCTTATAAACTGGGCTGGGGTTTGGAATCCACCTTGCACCCCTGATCGTGAGCTCCCTGCCACCCACAGGGGCCAGCCCCACCGACCCATGAACCCCAACGCAGCCAGGATGGCCCAGAAGGTGGGAGGATCTGACGGGTGCCCCCGCTGTGGGCAGGCCGTGTACGCGGCCGAGAAGGTCATCGGAGCTGGGAAGGTAACAGGGATGNCCCCGAGAAGGTGCTGAGGGAGGGGGTGCTGGAGAAGCGGAGCGGGGGGCTCCTGCAGCTCTGGAAGAAGAAGCGGTGCCTGCTGACCGAGAAGGGGCTGCAGCTCTTCGAGCCCAAGGGCTCGCGGCGCAAGGAGCTGAGCTTCGCCCGCATGAAGGCCGTGGAGTGCGTGGAGTGGAAGGAGCGGCACATTTACTTCACGGTGGTGATGGACGACAGCCTGGAGATCGATTTCCGCTGCGCCCAGGAGGACCCGGGCTGGAACGCCGAGATCACCATGGGGCTGGTGCGCTTCAAGAACCAGCAGGCGATGCAGGAGGTGCGCGCCCGGCACAGCTGCCGAGCAGGTACCGCAGCCCAGCATGAGGTCCCTGGGCGCAGGTTCCCTTCCCTGAGTGGTTTTGGAATCACAGAGGGGGTCCCGTGGAGAGGGGTGGGTCTGCAGGCTGATGTTCCCATGTCCCCCCTGCAGTGGCTGGGATGCCCCCGTGGGTTTGGCCTCTCTGTATCCCTGGACAGGGACTTTCTAACATCCTCCCTCTGTCTGTGGTGGCCTGGGGGGATACAGGGCCCTTTGCTATCCTGCACGTGGGATGGGGGGTGGGGTGGTGTGAGGAGGGGTCGCCCCACTCCTCAGTCCCTCAGGATGCCCCATGTCCCAGCGCTGGCCCAGTGGGTGACAGGAGCCTTCTCTCTGCAGTGGTGCAGCTGGACACAGCCCCGGTGGGGCAGCCCCGGGAATCGCAGCTTCCCAGGAGCCGGATGGAGATGGCGCTCGGCTCGGCAGGAGCTGGGGAGAACGGGATTCCTGCGGGCAAGTGAGGTCACCGCTGTGCAGCCCGGGGACAAGGACAGTGGCCCCGGGGAGGCCGGTGCTGGCGCTGGCCCCTCCTTGCTGGGACAGGACAGAGGCACCGCAGGAGCTGAGCTGGCACAGCCACCTCCCCTCGGCACAGCGGGGCACAGGACACAGGCAGGGCCACCACCTGGCACTTCAGACAAGGCAGGAGGTGACATCCCTGCCTGGGGCCCCACCGCCCTTCATTCAGCTGTGTGCAGGACCTTGGTGCACTGCTGGGGACCCCAGGCCTCTCCTGCGGGACAGGGGATAGATGAGGCTGTGCCCGAAGGATCTGTGCCACAGGGAGCTCTGCCTGTGTGACAGTGACACTGGGACAGATGGATGTGGCTGGGCCCCAATTTTAAAAAGGGGCTGGAAAGCTGCTGCTGCAGCAGGGACCCCTCAGCAGGGCACTGAAACGATGGTGTGGTGACACAGCCGTGCTGCTGGACATTGTCTCACCCTGGGATGTCCTTGTGCTGTGGGGGAATGCTGGGGACCCCAATTCCCTGTACCAAAGTTGTCCCTTAAAAGGACTTTCAGCTTCTTACCCTGGTGTTGCTTTGATTTGTGGGACCCACAGGGCACGGGAGAGCACAAATCCTGCACAGAGCTTTGCCAGTCATGACCCCTAAAGCAGCATCCCCCAGTCGGGCTCCAGAGCCCCCAGCAGCGCCCCGAGGCTCCCCGGTCACCAGTCCCGCTGCTCCCGTGTCCCCAGGGATTCCCACGGTAGTTTGTGCGCCGGTGACGCGGGAGCAGCGCTGTGGCTCCGCAGCAGGGAGGGATGGCCCTGCCCCGACAGGCAGCGCAGACAGCAGCGCCTGGAGCCAGCAGCGCTCCGCAAGCCGGAGCCTGAGCCCAGCCCGGGGCCGGAGGCGCTGCGGATCCTGCCGGAGATTTCCCGGCCGCGTGGGAACCATGGAGCGCGGTGTCCTTATTGCCCGGGCCAGGCAGCCTGCACCCAGCCTGAACCCCAATCCGTACCCCAGCCTGCACCTGTACCCCATCCTGTACCTCTGTACCCCAGCCTGTACCTGAACCCTGATCTTTACCCCAGCCTGACCCCAGCCTGCACCCTAGTCTGTACCCCACCCTGTACCTGAACCCCGATCGGTACCCCAGCCTGGCTCCAGCCTGCACCCCAGTCTGTACCTCTGTACCCCACCCTGTGCCCAGCCTGAGGGTCCTGTCCCCATGCCGGGGCAGTGCTGGTGGCTTTGGGGACAGTGGCAGGGCTCTCTGTGCAGGGCCAGGCTCGTGCTGGCTCTGCAGGAACAGTCCCCGGGGTGTTCCACCCAGCAGAGCCTCCTTGGCCAGGGGGGACTCAGAGCTGCATTTACCGAGACCCCCCTGGCTGGGGCTGCAGATGGAGCCAGACCCAAGCACTGCACAGATGGGGCTCTGCACCACCTCAGAGTCATGACGGGGACAGGGGGGCTCCAGGGGTGGTGGGACCCTCCACAGGACATGCTTCAGGAGTGGTGCCCTGTGTGGACAAGCCCCAGAGCAGGTCCCTGCACATGTGTCAGGAGGGAATGGGGTGGCAGGAAGGTGCTGCTGCTTACACAGCATTTCCAGGGGAAGGATCCCTGTCCTGGGCTTTCCCCTGAATCCCCAGCCTCGCAGAGCCAGGGGACTCAGTGAGGCCCAGTCAAAGCCATGTGAGTATCCCAAGCCTGTGCCATGGTGCGTGCCAGGATGGGGAGAACCCAGTGCCAGGGGTTCCCAAAGTTACCAGTTTTATTCAGTGTGACTCCTTTTTATCAATTTTTCTGCTCTCTTGCCCCCTGTAAATAGATATTTTCTGTTTTCCAACTACTAGCAAGGAACTGTCAGAAAAAATTATCAAGGAGAGTATATAAGCACCAGCCCTGGCCGTGGTACATCCCTGGGAACTGATGATGAGGCAGCAGAGAGGCCATGGTACCCCAGAGCTGGGGGGAAATTCAGGCAGTCAATGCAGGGAGGGGACAATAAGAAAACACAAATCCTGTGTCAGTGTTTCAGGTCCAGGCAAAGTCAAGCTTTTCCATCCTCATCCTGAGCCCTTCATCCAGTCCAACACACATCCAGGCTCCCTGCCTGGACCCCATATCCCCCAGGGACTTTAGAGCTCCCCAGGCCTCCAGGTTTGGGATTTCCTTCTGAGCAGACACCCACACCTGCCCCATCCTCTGGGGGTGGATTCCCAGGCTGACCCTGGAGCAGGGGCTGGGTCAGAGCCCAGGCTGATCCTGTGGGGGTGGAAGGTGTGCTGGCTTCATCTCCCCTGGGAGGCCTGAATGTCTCTGCAGAGGAAAAATCATCCTGAGACTGAAAAACAAATAAACAGCCCAGAGAGCCAGCCAGGGAGTGGAGAGGGGCCAGGGCCAGAGGCTGGAGCATCCCCAGCACCAGGGACGTGGTGCCAGCACCCTCCCAGTTCAAAGCAGGAGAGGACCTACAGGAAGCATTTCCAATGCCCCTGGAGGTGGGGAAACTGAGGCACAACAGGGGATGCAGGGTGGGTTTGTGGCCCCTCAGCCCCTCCAGCACTGGGGCTCCCATGGCCGGGCCCCCCCAGCCTCCAGGGAGAGGAGAGAGGTGCCCTGGAGCACCCAGAGTTCAAAGGCAGGAGCCTGAAAATCTGGCTCTGCTGCTCCCAGCCCACGGTGCCCTGTTCCAGCATCCCTCCCCACACTTCTGTGAGAGTGCTCCAGTGCTGAGGCTGCTCTAGGGGGCTGCCCCGTGCTCCCCACCCTGGGCAGGGGCACCCACAGGGACTGGCACTCTCCCTGCAGCACCACGGGGGTGCAGTGGGTGCACAGGACAGGAGTTTTTCCTACCTGAGGACATCCCAGGGCTGGCTTTGGAGTTTGGGGCTGGCTGGACACCCTGAGTGCCAGGGAGGGCACTGGGGTCACAGTGCTGAGACAGGGAGGTGCAGCCTGATGGCGACAATGCTTTTGTCACATGGGAGCTCCTCCATCACCAGGTGCCCTGCAGACACCCTGGCACTGTCCTGCTTCTCCTGGGATCATCCCTGAGCTCGTGGGTGGCTCCTCTTCAGATAAAAATGAAAAAAACAACAAAAAAAAGAAACCCCAGCTGTACCAAGTAGCATTCTGCTTTCTGGCTTAGGTCAACTGTTCAACTTCCTCCAGATGCTCCTAAAACAATTTCATTGTTGGCCATCCTTAATGACAATTCCTAAATCACTGGATTTTGGTTTGGGACATGGCACCTGCCCAGAGCTCTGTCTGTGTGTCCCTGCTGCAGGGAGCAGAGCCTGGGATGTCCCCAGCACTGCTGTGGGGGCTTGGCCATCCCCACTGAATTCTCCTGCACTGCAGTGTGGGAAGAAATGCCTGTGCTTGCAGCACAGCCCCTGGGGTGCTGCGGGGCCAGGGCAGGGACTGCAGGGTCACACCTTCACTCCCCAGCCACAGGGCCCTGCTGGAGGGACTCTGTGTCCCAGGGGGTTCAGAGCTGTGCCTGTGACATCCCCAGCAGTAGAGCAGAGGCTGTGGGAGCCCAGGAAGAAAGAAAACGAGGGCCCAGACATTGCTGGAGCTGCAGGGGGAACAACCAGCACATACCAGCACCTGTCTGTCCCCAAGCAGGAGCCACTGAGCAGCTCTGGGGGCAGGGTTGGCACAGCCAACCCAAAGTGGATACTGAGATGTGTCTCAGAGACAGATGCAAAGGTCTGCAAATGTTGTCTTATATATCAAGAGTTCTCTTATTGTGATAGTGGAAGGATTCAATATCACCAGAGTTTCATACCTCTTCAATGTTTGTCACAAGCAGCTCCTCTAAGCACTGACTATTCCCAGCCCTCACAGCAGCCATCTAACTCCTCTGACTCCCACCAATCCACTGTTTTATACCCCTGTTCTTATTTGCTACAGGTGTGGCCTGTTATCATCAGGCCTGCTCCTAATCTTTAGTAATTGGTTCAGCTGCAACTCTTTAGGGGATAAGATTACATTCTGTACCCATACTGTATCCCCTTACATGCAAATACCCTGAAAATGTCCAAAAACTCTGTCAGGGTCCCTGCCCAGGCCAGAAATTTTGAATTATTTGGAATAGTCTTTTTTTTGCTCATGTAGAATATTTTGCCTTCGGCTGGAAACCAGCCTGGAGTTTGTGATGCTCAAACTGATGTCACTGCTGAGCCATGGCTGCACTGGCACAGAACAGCCCAAATCCCCCTCCTGGTGAGAACAGCCCACAGGATCAGCACTGGGAAGGTTTCATGTGTCACTGGCAAAGCCATTGAAAGCTTCAAGTCTTCAGTGGGTGGCTCCATTTCAATAATGTCCTTCCACTATCCCAAAGTAGGTAATTCCTCCTCATTTAACAAAGCCTTTTCCATGTGCCAGAGGCACAAGGCAGGAGCCTGTGCTGCTCCTAAAGGGCCCCTTGGCTTTTGGGGGACCCTCCCCAGCCTTATGCAAACATTTCAGGCCTCCCCAAAGTATTCAAGCACAGAAAAACAAACTGGCCATGATATTTCTAGAAGTGGAAGGTGTTTCTTGCATTTTGGGACAATTTCCCTGCTTTGTATCCAGCCCCAGAGCTGCCTGCAATGAATTTGCCCTCTGTAGCCAGGTGGGGAGGGTGAGTCCCTCCCAGCATGGAGGGGCTGGCATGGGCACCCTCTTGAGCTGCACCAGCCCAGGGGGACTCCAGAGCTTGGGGGTCCCAGAATGGGGCTGGGACAGGAGCAGGACATGGAGCAGCACATCCCAAAGGGATGAGGAGCTTCTGCCCTGCCAGGCAGTGGGAAATGGGGATGCCCTGGTGGGGCTGATGCAATGGGATGAAGATCAGTGGGGCAGGTGAGCTGAGAGAGACCTCTCAGTCCCTGGGGAATATTTGGGGTCTGGCCTGGGGCTGTGCTGGTTCCCAGGCTGGGCTGTGATGATTATCCAAATTCGGCCCCCTTTCCATCTCGGGGCATCCCTCAGGTTTGGTGGGATCTGTTCACAGATGCAGCAGGAGGAGGAAATTCCCCTCAGGGCTGCAGGAGGCATCAGCTCTTACAGAAGCATCCCAGGAGCTCCCACTGCACTGTCACCAATCCACAGAGCAGGTGGGACTGGCTGGGTTCCTGCTGGATGGTCTGCAGGAGGAACACCATGGGGAACATTCCTCAAGACATGGCCCTTCACCACTTCACTGCCACCTGACCCTGCAATCACCCAGCTTAGGGGGTGACCTCACTGTGCCCTGGTCCCTGAGCTGTCCCACAGAAGGAAAATCTTCTCCCACACCGTGGTGAGTCTGTGGGGCATCATCTGTCCCAGGGCTGTGACAAGCCTGGTGCAGCTGGGGGCTCTCCTGTCAGCCCCCAGTGCTGGACTTTGAGAGTGGCAGTGAGGCTCAGCCCCAAAGGACACCAGAGGCTCAGCCCCAAAGGACACCGGGGACTCAGACCCACAGGACACCGGGGACTCAGACCCACAGGACACCAGAGGCTCAGCCCCAAAGGACACCAGGGGCTCAGCTGTCATTTCTAAGTCTGTCCTGGATGCTCTGGGACCTATTGGCTTTGTGAATTCCATGGGGGTTGATGGAACAAGGATGGTGGCTGGGAGAGGGTGAGGACAGGATGGATGGGAAGGTTCCAGAGGAAGGGAAGAGATCCCTCCAGCATTGCTTCAAGTCCATTTCTGCAGGGAGATTGGCTTCATGTGGGGCAGCTGAACTGCTCTCAAGAGTCAGGTACCTCTGCATGTGGGATCTCCAGACCCTGAGGAGCCAGGGACCATGCGCAGCTCTGGCAGCCCCTGCCATGGGTGTGGGGCTGATGCACCAACACCCTCCAGGGACTTGGAAGGACCAGAGGGGGAAAATGCCCCATCCCTCTTAACACATGCCAGGGGTCCACGTGTAAAAGACTAAACAAGGGTGACCTGTAGGTCCCAGGGACATTCAGGGACAAGCAGCTGTCCCTGGGGAACTGCTCCTGCCTGGCTCTGAACTCCCCATACAGCTCTCTGGGAAATTTCTGCTGGCATCCATCCCCTTGGTGGCAGCCCATGAGGAACCCTTCCCTTCAACCAGTGGCTCCCAGTAACAGAGGGATATTTGATATTTGTAGCAGCAGCAGCAGCACATGGACAAATCACAGAATGATGGAATAGTCTCAGTTGGAAGGGACCCACAAGGATCATTGGGTCCAGCTCTAAAGTGAATGGGGATCAAACCCATGACCTGGCTGTTATCAGCTCTGACCAGCTGAGCCAATCCCAGATACATTTTTATTACTTTGCTCTCCATTTGCCCTCAGCACTGCTTTGCCCTGTAGATTTCCAGCCTGATCCTTCCCACCCCCAGCAGCTCAGAGTGGTGTCCAAGGCCCAGGTGGCACCTGATAAAACAACCCCTCACCTGGAGGCAGCTCCCTGTGCTGTGTGAGCCAGGGATGGGCACTCAGAACGTCCCCTCTGTGTCAGCTGGGGAGGAGGGATGGGGCATCTCTGTTCCCTGTCAGTCCCTCTGTGCAGCCCCCATGGCAGAGCCGGGGCTTTGAACCCCATGGAAAAACCCCAAATCTGGGGGTCCCATTGCCCATCCCGCTCCCTCCTCCTGTCCCCGGGTCCCAGCAGAGGATGAAACCCGAGCCTGGCGCAGATGGCATCCGGAGCAGCCCCCGCCCCATCCCCGGAGCTGCGGGAATGCAGCGCCGTTGTCACGGGCTAATTTTGGCTCCTCTGTGCTCCGAAAACAATTCCAAGGCATCCGGGAGGAAAGATGCTGGAGGCCTGGCCCCGAGGGGGCTTTTCCTTATAAAGGTCTGACGGGGCTGGTTAAAGCCTCCTCCTCCTCCTCCTGCTGCTCGAGGGGAGAGCAGATCCTCCGTGCTGGCCAGGGAAGGGTCCTTGCAGGGTCCCGGGTGGGCTGGATGCAGGGGGGTTTCTCCCCTGCCCACTGGGACTTGCTGGGTGCAATTCCCACTAGGATGGCACTGCCACTGCCAGTGCTGCTGTTACCCCTCTGCCAGCAGCTCCTGCTGTGCCCAGGCAGGCGGAAGGAGCCGAGCTGCCCCACTCCTGCAGCTGTGTGTCCCTCTGTCCCTCCTGGCCATAAAAGCCCCAGGATTAACATGCCAGGCATTGTCCCTGCTGGGCCCCACGTAGGGAATTGTTTGCTCCTAAATTTGTCCCTAAAAATATCCCGGGGAACAGGTGCTGCCTGCCCTGCAGCCCTTGTCATGCAAAGGGACACTGGGCAAGGGGCTTTGTGGGGAGCAGTGGGACAGACAGCAGCCTTTAAAGTGCTTTTTCACTGCTTTTCACGGGGAAAACCTCAGGGCCTGTGAGGGGCTGGGAGCTGGCTGAGCATGCCAAGCTGCAGCGCTGTGCTGGGCAGTGGTGCTGCTCCTTTTCCTTAGAGAGGGGACAGTGCCCTCTTGGTCCCCACCCCACCTGGCCTGAGGTGTGACCAGGCTGATTTTCACTATCACCCCTCAGCAGTGCAGCCTGGCCTGCTGGGGTTCCCTGTCCTGCTCTGGTGCCTCTGGTGGCTCCCAGGAGTTCCCTTGGCCAGGGCTGTCCTGTGTGTGCCCTATGGTGCAGGGCAGCAGCTCCCAGGCGGTTCACACCCCCTCCCCTGCCTTCTGCAGCCTCTCTGGAGCTCTGTCACACCAGAGGTGCCAGGAGGATGCAGCCCATGCCCAGGGCATCCCCAGCACTGGGCAGCCTGAGCCTGTGTGTGTGACCCCCAGAGCCCCCTGTGAGCAGGGGCTGTCCTGGGGCATCCCAGTGCCCAAGGGGGCTCCAGGAGAGCTGGGGAGGGACTGGACAACGGTTGGAGGCACAGGACAAGGGGAATGGCTTCCACTGCCAGAGACAGGGATAGAGGGGAGAGTGGGGAGAAATTCTTCCCTGTGAGGGTGGGCAGACCCTGGCACAGGGTGCCCACCATGCACAGGACTGCCCCATGCCTGGCAGTGTCCAAGGCCAGGCTGGACAGGACTTGGAGCACCCTTGGGTAGTGGAAGGTGTCCCTGCCATGACTGGGCTGGGACTGGATGATTTTTAAGGTTTCTTCCCACCTAAATCAGTCTGGGATTATTCCCATGCAAGCAGCCCTGGAATCCTCCAAACCAAAGGGGGGTTGTGGGCGCCCTGGGACCCAAGAGCAGTGACACAGGGGTGACCTGTGTGTGCCCCTGTGCTCCAGGCAGGGCCCCAGGTGTGAGCAGCAGTCCCAGCACGCCCGGGGTTGCAGCAGATGTCTGCAGAGGAGGGGATTTGTGCTATTTTTACCGACCACTTGCAGGCAGGGCTGGGATTCAATATCCCCCCTCAGCCCCAGCGCCGGCAGAGCGCGGCTGTCCCAGCCAGGCGTCACCTCCCTCCTGCACAGCCAGGTAAGGCACTGCCACTGCCCTGTCCCCTGTCCCCCCGGGTGTGCTGGGGCTGAGATGGGCACGAGACCCCCAGCACTGGCATGGGACACAGAGGAACCCCCAGCACGAGGATCTGCCTGAATTTCTGCCCCTCTCTGAGGGGCTCAGACATTTCCTCTGCTCTGGGAGAGAGGATTGGTGAGGCTGCAATGGGGACAAAGACTTTGAGCTGATATTTGCCTGTTTTTTCCCAAACCATGGCAAACACGACTGTTTGAGGAGCACTTGCTGTGTGTTCCAGACTGGCTCACTGGTGGGAGGTTCAGGGTGGGAACAGAGATCCCTCCCTCCAAGCTGGGAAAGTGCTTGTGCTTTGTCTCCAGCCTCCTGGGATGGGGGAGGATGACAGAGTGGACTGTGGTTGGGTTTATGGGATTATTTCTTTTAAGGATTTCCATGATCCAGTGGTTCAATAAGCTTTACAAGCTTTTCACAGCTGGGAAAATGCAAATATTACAGAATTACCTTGCCCAGATCCTCTCGTCCCCATCAGGGACCAAAGTCTCTCTTGGATGCTCCAGATCCAGCTGGAGCCCAAAAGTCCTGGCACTGGGGATTGCTGGGGATGTCTCACTGGCACAGCTGAGTCCCTGCAGCTGTTTGGGAAGCCAATTTAGAACTGTTTGCCCCTAAAATGTGACTGACCTTGGTAGAGGTCGTGAGCTCGAGGTGTGGTGTGGATCCCACCCCAAGGAATGACGGGCTCTGCTCCAGCAGGGGACAAAGGAAAGGCTGAGGCTGCTCCCAGCCCCCTCAGCTCCAGGGAAAGAAAGGCTCCTCTGCCACCCCCAGAATAAACCTGGGAGCAGGAATAAACCCAGGCTGCTCAAGGCACCAGTGCTGCCTGCTGTCCGCTGGGATGTTTGTCACGGCACCAAAAACCTCCACAAAAGCAGGAAACTGAATGTTTGATGTGGTTTGAGGACAAAGAAATTCCTGTTCTTGGGATTTCTCCTTGTAAATCTGGGGATTTGGATTGGGAGGCACTGGGGAAGATGATTCCTGATGGGATTTTATTACATTCCCCCCATCCCCCAAACTTCATTTATTCAGGACATATCTGGCTGAGCTGTGGGCACATGGGGAGGGAACAGGGACAAGGGAACAGAGCCAGGATGTGCCCTGAGATTTGCTTGGCACAGGCTCCACACAAACCTGTGAGCAGCTGTTTGAGACCAGCTTTTCATTTCTCCCAGCAAAAATCCTTGGGGTCTAAAACAGTTTCAAAATATCAGGGGATGCAAAAGGATCAAGGAAAAAAAACCCCTGCCTGTCCATTTCACTCCCAAGGAAAAGCACTAAACCCATGCCTGGAAAACGCTGTTTAAAGGGGGAAAAATACTAAAATTTCCCCCCACATTTTTCTGCTGCTTGGCCTCACAGGGTGCCCTGGCTGCTCAGCACAGCAGGGTCAGAGCAGGGCCAGGGGAGCAGTGTGGGCTGGAACAGCTGCCAGGGCTTGGGATCACCAGGCAAATGTAAAACAGGAAACCCTGAGTGTTTCACCTGGAATGTGACTGCTGAAGGACCCTGCTCAGCTGTGGGATCTGACTTAGAGAATCCCTGAATGGTTGGGAGGGACCTTAAAGCCCATCCAGTCCCACCCCTGCCATGGCAGGGACACCTTCCACTGTCCCAGGCTGCTCCCAGCCCTGTCCAGCCTGGCCTTGGGCACTGCCAGGGATCCAGGGGCAGCCACAGCTGCTCTGGGCACCTGTGCCAGGTCTCACAGCCAAGAATTCCTTCCCAATATCCCATCTCACCCTGCCCTCTGGCAGTGGGAAGCCATTCCCCTTGTCCTGTCCCTCCATCCTTTGTCCCAGAGTTCCTCTCCTGCTCTCCTGGAGCCCCTTTGGTCTCTGGAAGGGGCTCTCAGGTCTCCCTGGATCCCTCATTTCTCCAGGCTGGGCACCCCCAGCCCTCAGCCCCGTTCAGAGCAGAGGTGTTGCCCTTTGCTCTGGCGTTCCCCGGTTGGTTTTGGCTCTCCCATCCCTGCCTTGCCCACGGGAGTTGCAGGACAGGACTCCTGAGCCGACCCAGTGGGGGACCCCCGAGGCACCCCCATTTCTCTCGGTGTTTCCAGAGCCGGGGCGGGCGGGGAGCAGCTGGGAGCTTGGGAACAGCCCCGAGGAGCCGCGGGCTGAGCCCTGCAGGGCCGGCTGTGCCCGCCGCAGCTTGCCCGGGATGCGGGCGGGATGTCCCGGAGGCTGATGGAGCCGCGGGGCCGCTTCCCAACGCCGACAGCGCGGGGCAGCAGCGCCTCGGCATCGCTCCTGCTGCCTGTGCCTCTGTGAACCGCGATTTGCTCCTTGGGTTCAGCCGCTTTCCTCTCTCGGCAGGAGCAGCCCCGCCGCGATGCCGGAGCCGTGAGTAGCTGCGCTCCCCGGATCCCCAAAGCCTCGCCCGGCTGCGCTTCTCCCTTTGCGGAGGGTCCGCTGGGAGACCCTGCCCTGCCCCACACCTCTGTGCCAGCCCCCTTGCAAAAACCGGCTTTAAATGCAAATTGTTTGCCCTTTCAATGTCCCAGTGCAAACCTCGGGGCTTTCCCAGATCCCCAAATGCAGATTGGAGGGGAGGGAGCAGCTCTGGATTTGCCGTGAGGCTCTCTGTAGCACATTGCACAAATCCAACACATTCCCTGGTGAGCAGAGAAGGGAGGAACTCCCTGTAAAGCTCTCCTGGAGCAACGACCTGGGGATGTCCCAACCCTGTGAACCTGAGCAGCATCCAAGCATCCCGGCCCAGCTGAAGTGGGACTGGGGCAATGAGGGTGTCTGAACCACAGGGAGTGAACTGGGCTTGGCATGATGGGCACAGTGCCAGCTCACCTGTCACACCTGAGTGACATTTTGGCTTTCTAAGCTGTGGCCCTGAGCTCCCACTGCATTTCCAGAGGGCACCTTCCCCTCAGGCCTGGCTCACATGCTGGTGGCAGCTGTGAGATACAGAATAAGGAACCAACTGCAACCACACAAGATGCATTCCTTGACTGTCCCCTCTTTTTCACTCTCATTCCTTGATGCCCTGTTCTCTTCTCTTGTTCTTTCTGCTGCTCCCTGGCTGCTGCCCTGCCTGCAGGGAGGTAAGTGCCTTTCCCTCTGGTGGAGCCCTTGGTGCTGCTCTGCGTTTGCTGTGCGTTTGTTTTCAAAGGGTGTTTTCCTTCCCTCCCCTTTCCCCCAGAGAAAATCCAAGATCACAGCCTCACGCAAACTCTTGTTGAAGGTGAGTCCCGAGGGCTGGAAACTCCCTGGGGTTTGTCTTGCTGGGGGAAAGGAGCCAGATTGCAGCACATTGGTGGGACAGGGGCGAGGAAAGCTCAGGGATGGGCTGTGGGGAGCAGCTCCCACCCACCTCTCTCTTCTCACTCATGTGGGATTTGTGGTCCAAACAAACCTCCCCTGCACTGGGGTGGGGAGAGACCCCCACACCTTCAGCTCTGAGGCCTCAGCCTGATTGTGCTCCAGCACAGGCCTGGGAGCTCCCCAGGCTCTGCTTGGGATAAACATTGCCTGTCCCAGCAG